ATTTTATGATATGTTACATTGTTTTATTACAAACCATACATACATACATGTTTAAATATCCTTTGTTGTAATAAATTGCGCGCAAATATGCAACCACTAATATTAATGCATATGTATAAGGTTGTTCACTTGTTCTCAAGAGGGTTCATACCACGATGCATGCATGCAATGCATGTTAATTATATGTAGTTATTCTCTATATGTTGTGTAATAGCTTATAGCTGCATACATGCACGTTATCCAGGATACTCACAGGTGTATGAAATAATTTGTAATTTATAATTTTTATTTGTTTTCTTACTTTTGTTGTTAATGTATAGGGTTTGGAAAGAATTAGAGGCGAGCAAAAGGGGAGAGCCAAGGAGTAGAGTTTCTTGAACAAAGCTTTTCATGTGGAATTACTAATTAAATTTGTAAAAGAAAAGCTTAGCTTGGAGGTAGAAATGGCGGAAGACGGATCATCATCACCTTCTCCTGATCAATCACCACCATCATCAGGTGCATCATCATCACCACCACCATCAGGATCATCATCATCACCATCGCCACCACCTCCTTCGCAATCTTCATCTTCTCCTCCGCCTTCCTCACCACCTCCTTCTTCTCCTGCACCACCTGAAAGCGGAAATTCATCTCCATCCCCACCACCACCATCAGAAGGATCATCATCATCGCCACCACCACCATCATCGGGTTCATCATCATCATCATCACCCCCGCCTCCTAGCGAGGGTGGTGGTGGTGGTGGTAGTGGTAGTGATAATGGTAATAATAACAACCAGCCTCCTAGAGAGGGTGGTGGTAATGATAGCGGTGGCGGGCCGTCTAGGGATGTTCCATCACAACCTCGATCCCCACCTCAAGAGCTAACCCCATCGGGACCCCGAGGTGGTTCGTCCAATCAATCACCATCCCCTTCATCATTAACCGGTGGAGGCTCTTCTGGTGGTGGCTCATCAAAATCCAATGGTAGCGGGGTCATAACCGGAGTGGTGGTGGTTGGTGGCCTTTTACTCTTTCTAATGGCGGTTTGTGTATTTTGCATAAGAAAGAAGAAGAGGAGAAAGAGTGAAAGTATGCCCTCTTATGGTTGGGAAGGTGGTCCTAATAAACCTCAAGGTACGTAACCCTATATGTGAAATTTTGTCACGTTTTTTCAATTATTAATTAAACAACAAAAACACGAATATCATCCTGCATTATATTATAATCAATAATATTAAAATGCAATGCACCGCATTATAAAATATAATATTGTTGACTAATTGCATCACTTTAACTTTCAGGCAATTATTATAATAATAATCAATATTGGCAAAATTCTTCTCAAGATCACCATGCAGTCAAAATTCCCCCAACATCTGGTGGCCAGGGTTGGGGGAATCCAACTAGCGGCGATGAAAGCGGGCAACAATCAGGGCACAATGCAACATCAACAGCACCATCTCCGGGTTTAAGCTTGGGTTTTAACAAAAGCCAATTCACGTACGCGGAGCTAGCTGCCGCGACAAATGGGTTCGATAGATCAATGATGCTAGGGCAAGGCGGTTTTGGATATGTACACAAGGGTGTTTTACCAAATGGAAAAGAAATTGCTGTGAAAAGCCTAAAGTCTGGTAGTGGACAAGGAGAAAGAGAGTTTCAAGCAGAAGTTGAGATTATTAGCCGTGTTCATCATCGTCATCTTGTGTCCTTGGTTGGTTATTGTATTGCTGGTGGACAAAGGATGTTGGTTTATGAGTTTGTTCCTAATGAAACTTTGGAATATCACCTCCATAGTATGTCATTGATTCTACACTTGTTGATACTTATAATAGTATAGTACTTGGATCCGTATTATATATGATTAGTTGCGTTGTTTATGTAAGTTATGAGAGTAGAGTGAACAAAGAATTAAGCAAGTCTTTTATATCTTGTTTAATTTCTATAGGCCTTATTTGGTTGATACGAGTTTCATTAGTCATTATTAGGTCGATTGTTAATTTCTTATCCACTGAATTAATTTTTAATATGATTTCAGAAAGAGGAGAGTTGGATTTTCCAACTAGGCTTCGTGTTGCACTTGGATCAGCTAAAGGGCTAGGTTACCTTCATGAAGATTGTATGTCTTGCCAAATTTTCTTCATATTCTCTCATATATTGTTTTGTTTACTATCCATCGATACAATATAATAAGCTTCTAAAGTTTCTTTAATGTATGCATTATTCACCTGCTTATCTATCCCTTCAATGTTCTAAATTAAATATGTACCAGGTCACCCAAGAATCATCCATCGTGATATCAAAGCTTCTAATATTTTGTTGGACGAAAACTATGAGGCCATGGTAAGTTCATCAATAAACTTCCTTTTAGTCATCCTCATTCGGCATATATTTTTTGTTTTTTTTTTCTTTCTAAATGATTCATCAAAATAATGAATTTGTTGAAACATCTTTCTAACTAAAACTGTTTGATTGAAAACAAATAAATATTATCTTTAAAAAATAATCAGTAGTAATCAAATTAAAAAAAAAAAAGTATATAATTACAAAATTATTCTACCAACTTTCGCAAGCTAAGCGACCATGATTATATTTGTGGATATTCAGGTTGCTGATTTTGGACTAGCTAAGCTTACCACTGATACAAATACTCACGTCTCTACTCGTGTGATGGGAACTTTTGGGTGAGTTTTTTTTGTTCAATTCATCCAAAATTATTTTACAAATAATTGATTCATGTACAAAAGTGTTAAATTAGTAATAATAATAAGTTTAAAAATTTGATGACATTAGATTTTATTAGAGCAACGATAAAGTGATTAATGATATTATGATATAAATCTAATATACAAATATAACTCATAATATAATGCAGGTATTTGGCTCCTGAGTATGCTTCAAGTGGCAAACTCACTGAAAAGTCGGACGTTTTCTCATATGGTGTAATGTTGCTAGAAATTATAACTGGACGTCGACCGGTTGACCCTCAAATGAAGTACATGGAAGATAGCTTGGTTGACTGGGTATTACATGCAACTCTTCTTTATCCTTTTAAAAAAATAAAACATTTGATTTGGTTTACAACAATGAGTTTAATGTTTAGTCGACTTAAATTACAATATATATAGTGCAGGCGACTTATGTGAAATATGAGATTTGAGGTGGCTAATTATGTCTATTGCAGAAATACAAAACCTACAAATTAAAAGAGTGAAAGCTAATGATATATTTAATAAGTTTATATCTTTTGAGCATTGTATTGATTTTAAATGTATGGTTTTATTTATGGTTCACAGTCCAGACCACTTCTAACTAAAGCATTAGAAACTGGCAATTACCATGAGTTTGTTGATCCACGTTTGGAAGAAAACTATGACCCTAATTTAATGAAACGGATGGTGGCTTGTGCTGCTGCATCCATTCGCCATTCTGCTAAGAGGCGCCCCAAAATGAGCCAGGTTCGTTCGTTCAACTAACATATATTTTTCTCTACTTAACAAACGATTCATTTCAATTCTTGAGTAGACTTTGATCCCAATACCTTTAGTTGGAAATTTTGTTAAAATGACATTTTTATTGATCCAAGTATTTCATAAAGGCATGATTACTGACATGAATGTTATGTAACGTCCACATATCTTAAAATCACAGATTGTTCGAGCATTAGAAGGAGATGTCTCATTGGAAGACCTAAATAGTGAAGGGCAAAAGCCAGTGCAAAACACGATGCTTAGCTCGTCGGGGAGCTCGGACTATGATACTCGTGCATATAGTAAAGACCTCAAGAAGTTCAGGCAAATGGCTTTAGCAACTCAAGATTTTGCAAGCAGTGAATATGGAGGAACCACAAGCGAATATGGATTGAACCCTTCTAGTAGCTCAAGTGACATTTCAAAGGAGATAAATAGCAAGAATATACCTTAATCAATATTTTAACTAGGATAATTCTAATTAATTATTGTTAATTGGATTATGGTACACAAGCTAATTGATTTTTTTTTTTAATTATGTAGAGATTACACTATTTTTCTTAGATAATTTCAAACATGCATTCTATCTTGTCTTCTATTTGCTTGATTCTTTTTCTGAAGAAAAAAAAAATATGTAGATGTAAAAATATACTACGTAAAAATTCAAGTGTTTTTATATCTATTATATTGATTTCTACAAACTTACATTTTACTCTGTCTTCAATTCATGGAAAATATGTTGAGTGTGGACTACAAAGCCAGTTGTTTAATGCACAATAGAGTTAATAGATACATCGTTTACATTTCAAAGATCCCAATATAAAGTGAATCTACTAACTCTATTTAAAACAACTGACTTTCTGGACTAGGTCTCCGAAAGGTATATCGCAAAGAAACTATAAACCTCAAGGAGTATGTTAAATATTTCGAATAAAAGGGAGTTCTACAAGTTTCCATATTCAAGTAATTTTACTTAACACTTATGTAAATAATACAACCAATTTGGTAAAATATCTAATTAACTGAGAAGTCAAATCAATTATTAACCATTTACGCATTAATTATTGAACATGACTTAAAATAACTGATATTGTTGAACACGTCTGTAATCCAACCTAACAATAAGTGAATAGTTGATACCTCATGCGGGGAAATTGATTAAAAATATCTTTTAATTGATTTCGGCACACCTCTATTGTGACTTTGTGAATTAGCGAATGATTGTGTTCCAAAAATCAAGTTTTAGGGTCTGTTCTCTTCAGTTTAATTTCAGTTCAGTTCAGTTCAGTTTCTAATTTACTTCCCTCATAAACAAATCAGTTCAGTTCAGTAAATGAGAACAGACCCTTGATGTACTAAATTTATTTATTTTTTGACGGGAATGTACTAAATTTATTTTGTTTGGAGTGAATAACCAATTCTAACATTGGACTCGTGTTTGGGCCAATAAATCAATATCAAGTTATACCAAAACCGACTGAAAAACGAATTCGAGTAATCCGACTTTACATTTTAATTCTGTATAAATCTGCGAGCCTAAACCCTCTTCGTTTCTTTTCTCTTTTTATTCTCGCTGTTTTCCTCACTCTTCTTCTTTCTCTCGATTTTCCGACTACCAAATTCATTCTTCCAAATCTGATGCATTCTTTTCTCTTTCCTCCCAATCCGATTATCCGAAGAAATTAATCCCTGATTAAATCAAAACCCTAACCCTAGATTTCGAAGATTTCTAGCGATATGGGAGACAACGATGCCTTCTTGCGCAACCAGAATGCCGCCGTTCAGGGTCGCACCAAAGCGCAGAATCGTGCTAATGTTCTTCAGCTTAAAATGGTACAATTTTAGGGTTTTGATTTATTATACTGGATTTGTTTTTGTTTTGTTTACGTCTTATTTGATCTTGCTTTTTTTGTTGATGTTTAGTTATTTAGGGTTCGTTTGAATTCTCTGATAGTGTGAATTTTTTGTTTTATAGACAAGTTAATCAATATTGTGATTATGAATTTGAACTTAGGTATAAGATAAATTTATATATGTAAACTTAAGGAGCTGAAAATAATTGATTTCTAGCTGGTAATTGTAGCTCTGTTGATATGGTTGTTTTGTCTAAGATAGTGTTTGGGGGAGGAGGTGGTGGTTATGGTGGATTAGGGCATGATTATGCAGCGATTGAGGTGCCTCGGTTATTTGCGATTGTGCATCAAATAACAGCAATTGAATTGTGTGATTTTATTTTGCAGATTGGACAGTCTCACCCGACCGGTCTGACTCCTAACTTGCTTAAGTTATTCGAGCCTCGGCCTCCATTGGAGTATAAGCCGCCACCGGAGAAGAGGAAATGCCCTCCTTATATGGGTAACTAATGTTTGCATGAATCTGTTGTTGATACAATTTGTTAGCAAGATCTAAATTGTAATTTGTTTTTTTGAAGGGATGGGGCAATATGTGAATCTTTTTGCTGAGCCTGGGGATCCTGAGTATGCACCCCCCGTCAAAGAAGGGGAAACTCCGGTATGTTGTTCTTGATTGTGCAAATACTTTGATTGACTGTGTTATTCATTTATTGTGCTTGTGAATCACTTATCATTAAGACATTGGTATTAGTATGCTGGTGGAACGTACCCTATAAGTTACTTGAGGCTTGAGTAAGCTGCACCCTTTTCTTGGAAGTGGAAGGGGTGTGATAAGATTTGATACAAAAAGTTCACACCTAGTTATAACTGTTTAAATTGGTTTATATATTTTATTTTGGTTTCAGAAAAGCTACTTTTGTCTTAATAGGTTAATACTTCCTTCATTCTTTTTTACTGGACTTATTTGTTTTATCACGCTTGTCGATGCACAACTTTAATCATCAATTACTTTAAGTCTCTAAGTAAAAATTATAAAAGTTATATTTGTGATAATACTTAATTAGACGACCCTAACAAGATCACATGAATATGTTTTTCCTTACATACACAATAGTCAAAGGCGGGTTGGTGAATAGTGTAAAAGTAAAATCAGGTCCAGTAAAAAAGAACGGATGAAGTATATTGTTTACTTGTTTGATGCCAGTGTGACTTCATTGTTTATTTTTCATTATGATTGTCTTTGGAGCTTGGTTATATACTCCATTACATTTTTTTATATTATATAAATTTTAAAAAACATGTTACTTTATAAGATGATTGGAGAAGCTCTTTTGATTTATGTAATTTTGATTGTTGCTTATATACTCGTATCTTATCTTGTGGTTTAAATGATGCCTTTTTTTCCAGCATGAGTTATCCATTCATGTAATCTGCGTTGCTTTATAGAAATTTACAAGTAATTCATCTTATGAGTTTTCTGACTTTAGAGCCAGAAAGTCCAATTAAAATTGAAAGTTAAGCACATAGATGAGAATATGAGATTAGGAGTTGAAGTCTACGTTAATCAGACATGGCATTTTAACTGCCGTTCCCAAATAGTTGAAAACTGTCTTGCTGTTGTAGTTTTTCTCAAAGGTTATGGGACACTGAGAGAGAGATGGAAAGTTGGAAACCAAATAGTTGGAAGCCTGTTTGTACTTTTACTTTTTTATTTAATATTTTTAATTTACTATGGTATGAGAAGCGACAAAGAGAGGGAGAGGGAGAGGGAGGGAGAGAGAGAGAGAGAGAGAGAGAGTTGTAAACCAAATAGGTACAATTGGAGCGACAACGATACTTATACTTACTTTTTTATTTAATATTTTTTATTTACTATGGTATGAGAAGCGACAACGATATTCCCCACGTCAATAGGTACAATTTGACATAATTAGGAATATTTTGTTGGACACATGCATTTATGCCTCTATTAAATACTCTCACCTGTGTCCATCTAGCATAATAGATTGAAGTCTATTTGTTGTGTGTTTGAGCTTTAAGGTATTTGACTCTAGCCATTTGTATTCTGCTCTTTTGATTGATATTGTCAGTAGAATTTGTGATTTTACTGTTCAATTCTTGAAAACTGTCTGTTAATTCTAACCATGGCTGGTTGCTTCTGATAAAATATATCCGTGTTAGTGGCTGACCAAATTATAAAAAATTTGAGGGATTTGAATGCTACATTAAAACTGGTTTTTTTTATCTCGCACTTTGAGCTTTTTGAGTGTTTTGTGCTTGTCCATCCTTCTCCATTCGAAGTCGGGTGAACAATTGCTATGTTGGTGTCTGAGTGTCTGACTACTCTAAATTTCTATGTTGTGTCTTCATGTGCAGAGCCAAAGGAGAGCCAGAGTTCACCAACTGCGATTGGAGAAAGGTGCTGCAAAGGCTGCAGAAGAGCTAGAGAAATGTAATTTCCTTGTAAATTTTGCACTTTTATGTTTATCTTTATTATTATTTTTTTTTAAAGTGAAAATTTTCATTATTGTACATTGCAGATGAACCACAAAGTGACCCAAATGCCACCGAAGATCCATACAAGACGCTATTTGTTGCTAGGCTGGTAAGCCATACTTTTCAATTCAGTTTGCTGTTTATTATCTTTATGTTCGTCTATGAACTTTTATAAGATTTACTGACAAGAAAATATGGTGATGGAGAACAAGAACTAGGAAACTTCATTGCATATAAAATGAGATTAATAATGCAGAAACTGTAATAAAAATTCGTTTACATATTTTTAACTAATTTCAGTGCTATTTATGTGTTTGTTTAAATAAAAAATTTAAAAATAATCTATCAGTTATTTCAAAGAATGATTTTTAGTGGTTTGTGTACTTCGGAATGAGCTGAAAAAACTATTTATCGTCATGTGGCATGCCCTTGCTCTACTTCACACCCAAAATAGTGTTTGGGTTCAAACTAGGCCCTTGATCTATGCAGATCAGCTAGAAGATTTGGGAAGATGAGGTGTTTCCTATCCAGCTGGCTTGTTTCATTTCATGAAATCTGAAACATAGTGTTTCCAATATTTATGTGAATCTTAGATTTTGATTATGGTCAATTCAGCCTGTTGCTTTTCTAATAAAACTTGAAAGATATCACAGTTGCTGTTTTAGATAAAGCAGCCTTCAGTTTTGAAGTCTGGTTATAATTTAACCTATCTTTTCACCTGTCAATATTATTTTCTACTCTCGATCTACCTATTCCGTCTTCGGGTTGAAGATTGCTAATTTAATATGATTCACAACGACACAGCTACAAAGTGGACATTCTTTTTTGGATGATGAATTAAGTTTATGATAAGATATTTTCATTTGATTTGCTTGTATGCACCTCTTGTTAACTTTGTGTTGTTTTTCGAAGAATGTTTTGTTGACGTAAGGTGCATGTTCAAGATGTTGAGATTCTGTATTCGTACTTGAATGCCCCAGCTACTTGTGATATTGACTTCTTCATTCTGTGCTTGTGGCAAAAGGTGTTTTTTTTCTTTCCATGGAGTGCAATGTTAGCCTTTATAGTCTTAGTCTATAGAATTTTAAGGCTATTTAATTCTCGTACTATAGTTATGTCTCAAAGAACAATGTAGCTAAATTAAGCAGTTGTAACCTGTTGAATCGAGTTGGTACTTCATATATTATCGCTATTAATAGTTTTTATTTTTGATTTTTTTTTTTATACTACCTCAGTTAACTTTTAGTTGCAACTTTGGGGTATCATTTTTTGAGATATAAAATATTCCAAAGTTGTAACTAAAAGTTAACAGAGGTAGTATTTTTTTATTATTTTATTTTATTTTTTTATCTACTGTGAGACAGTGCTAAGTATTGATTTGTTTGTTTGCAGAGTTATGAGACCTCGGAGAGCAGGCTGAAAAGGGAGTTTGAAACCTATGGGCCCATAAAGCGGGTAGGTATTTATAATTATCCTCTTGGGGGATCAGGTTCTTGCGTTTTATCTTCGGTAAGAGGTGACTTGTGTTTATGACGGCTTCTCCTCAGCCTATTCTTCTTCCTGTCCTTGTGACAGTTGCAAAACTTTTTCAAGCATTTTTTGAAATTTTATCAATTTGTTTTTCAGTATTTACATCCCCTTATGGTGTTTTTGAAAATAAAGTTTTCCTTTTCTGTTAATCTTTTTTTCATTTTTGTTTGGTTTTACTTGTTTTTGCAACAAAAGAATAAAATAAAATGGATAGTAGCTTTCTCCAGTCTCTGTAATGAGTGTTGAATTTTCTTTAGGGTTTTTGATTAAATGACAGCCAGTGACCTTGAAATTTTCCCAATGTTTCTGCACTGTATGGTCAATTTTGTTGAGTTTTTATTTAAAATATGAGGGAGGGTTGTGTATGCGTCATGATAGAATATTATGAAGGTCCATGCACATGTAAGAGAGAGGATTAGGTATGGGATTTTGCTGGAAGACTTCTTGTTTCTTGGTAATTATCTTTGTCCTTTTTTTAAAACTAATATTAGAAAGAAATAGATTGAAATCTTTTCCATGATTGTAGTCTCAGCAAAGATTTGGTTCAGTATTCAATTCTAGTTTTGAGGTAATAAAACTGGTGAGGCGGGGTTAGTTGAGATTACTTTTCAGCAATTGTTATATTTAAGCATTCATACTTATTGCTAAACAATCCTATTTCAATAATGTAGCATCCTGCATGAAGTGCATTCCTCTTTTCATGTGTTTACAGTTATTGAATAGACATTTTTTCTTTGTAGCATAAATTTGTGCTAAATTCATTTGCCTTCTGCTTAACTAAGACGGGTGATGGGGTTCAGTCTTAGCCTTTGCTTTGTCTTCTTGGTGCAGTTAGATTCAAATTTGATTATTATTATTTGCTAGATAGTTTAATTTGATCTAGAAATGGTTTTATTATGAATGGTTGTTAATTCTTGATGGCAAAGCTGATATCATAAGTTGTGCGGTGCTAAAGGCGCTTTCATTTTGGAACCTATAGCACAGGTACCATTGGCTGTCTACCTTTTATAACAGTAGGTCTGTCTTGCATATGCTTTGAAAAACAGTGTTCCTTTGCCTTAGATTTGGGTGGTTTCTCGAACTTGGTTATTTGCTTTCATTTCTAGTGCCTAGGTATGATACACACCTGAGTATGAAGGTCCATGTTCTTTAAGTAAAATTCATGGAGAAATGGTATGAAATATCAACCCGATGGTAATCCACTATTCCCTTTTTATGTTTACTTTTGAATTTAAAGCTGGTACTTCATCCTCCTTGGTGAAGCTGAAATAGTAAGTTGAAAAGAGCTGATGTTTTATGCCTTTGTGACTTTCTTTGTTCAAGATACAAAAGGAGACACCGTCCACATTTTAGCTGCACTTGGTAAAATTTCCGGGAGTTTTAGTTTCTCTCCCCTTTCAATTTAATTTCTCTACATGCGATGCTTTACTAAGCTCTTTTGCTTGCCAAAGGCCACTGAAAACCTATCCGCTGCCAAGAAAGGATCCTGGTATATCTAATTCTAAACACTTCCTTCTATATTGAAAGTTTCCCTGGTAAGGGGGATTAGTATTTTCTTTAAATTTCCCTGGTAAGGGGATTAGTTTCTTCTTTAAATTTCCCTGGTAAGGGGATTAGTTGGTTCAAGGGCTGGTAGATTGGCCACTTACATCAGTGTCACTACAACTCTAGCGGTGGCAGTTCGTCTCACTTGTGGAGCATTATCAATTAAAGGTGCGCGGCATAGCGCCTGTTTGCCGTGCCATTAAGGACTTTACTTGTAGATTTAAGCTATTCTTCTTCAGATGAAAAACAAATGTTCTTCAATTTCTTCTAGCATATATCTTTTGCATGTTATTTTCTTGTCCCTATAGTTTGTTTCTCCCTTTTTTCAGGTCAAAATGATTTATGACAAGGAGACAAACAAACCAAGAGGCTATGCTTTTATAGAATTTTCTCATACAAGGGACATGAAAGGTTTGCTTGCCATACTGCTGGTTATATAATTTATTTTTTTAATCGTTTATCTTTACCTTTAAACTTGCTTATATGACATGTCTTTAATGAATCCGTATAGCTGCGTATAAACAAGCTGATGGAAGGAAAATTGATGGAAGGAGGGTTCTGGTGGACGTGGAGCGTGGAAGAACTGTTCCCAACTGGCGACCTCGCAGACTGGGTGGTGGACTAGGAACCACTAGAGTTGGTGGTGAAGATGTCAATCAAAAGAGTGCTACAAGGTTAATGACCATTTTGAGATATTATGAGAGCACAATTATCTGTACTTACTGGCTTAATCTTGTAGAATTTCATGTGGAATTTAGGGGTGGGAGGACATATTGGGGTCGATCAGAATCTGTTTCTCCTCGCAAGTGCTTTTTCAACATTCATCTTCTTTATTTATGGAATTGAACTGTATGCTTAACTGCTTAAGAAAGGGTCAAGGATGCTAGAATTAGAGGACTCTTTACGAAGGATTAGCATGCTTTATTTAAGAAGTTTGATGCACAATCTGTACTTAAAAAGTTTTGAGGCATATCATCTTTTTTCTTTTTTAGATACAGTTTTTGGTATAGTTTACATTGTTACGTTTCAAATGTGGCATTTCTTTCATGTGCAGTAGAAAGGTTGATTATACTTGGGTTACTCTTGGAGATGAAAGTGTTTTGCTGTTGTTGTGTGAAGAATGATACACAATCCCCCCCCCCCCCCCACCCCCCTCTTTCTCTTATACTAATATCGGATGGAGCCTGTACTTTCAAATTTCTGCTTTCTGCCTGAGCTCTTTTTTTATTTTTGCTGTAGTAATTTTCATTCTGTAGTTGAAAACTTAATTTTGTTCTTTTCTTCTTAGGGAGCCACAAGCAGGAGTGCCATCTCGATCAGAGGAGCCGAGGATACGAGAAGATAGGTATAGCTGCTTTATTTTTATTTCTGAAAGTAGGTTGATAATGCTTTGGGATCTGGAATGTGGACCGTGGAAACGTTAAAACTAATCCAATACATCTGTCTTTGTGCTTAGGAATCTAATATTGTGTGTTTGACTTGATTAATAATCATGGAATTAGACCGAATACTGATAAGGGTATTTCTGTTTCAAGTTTTCAACTGACCTTTTCTATTTATATTATTAATTATAAAGGGATTTTGAAAGGTTGATAATTTATGAATAAAGGCCCTTGACATATAATGTTTGCTTGTATTCTGAAGAGAACGCTTCCTGTTGTTCCATTGAGTTTCCTGGTTTTAGATACAGGATATGCAATTATATACCAATTTAATATCTGTGCATTGTATCTATTATATTGCTTTGTGGATAAAAAATTATGTTAAATTTTCCAGAGAAAAATCTCGAGAAAGGGGCGGCAGGGAGAGAGATCGAGAACGGGAAAAATCTCGTGAACGATCCCATGACAAGTCTAGGGACCGTGATCATAGAGAGGATAGACACCATAGAGATCGTGATAGGACCAGAGACAAGGACAGGGACAGAGATCGTGGCCGCGATCGTGAACGTACTCGTGATCGTGATAGAGGTAAAGACCGTGGTCGTGACTATGATAGAGATCGGGATCATGGACGTTCCCGTGATAGGCATCGTGATAGGGACCGAGATTATGAAACCGGGGAGGCAGACCATGATCGCGGCCATTCTCGTGATAGGGATTATGAGTATGATCACATGGATGCTAAACTTGACCGTGGCAGGCATGGTGAAAAAGAACGAAGTTATGATCATGCTGGAGCTGAGGAGGATCGGGGGTGGTATGATGCTGATCAAAGTCGGGGACAATATGATGATAAAGATGATCTGGGTGATCATGATCGATACAATCATTATGCTAATGAGAGTGGTCATATGGAAGAAGATGATTATAGTTATAATCGGGAAGTCTGAAGAAGCTAAAGAGCCATTGAAATTAAGAAAAAAAAGAAGAGGAATTGAGCTAACTTTTCCTTTGCAGACTTTTTTTTTCACAATTGCTGAAAGTTTACTTAAGCTCTCATCGTGGTTGTCGGCAGTGTTTAAGGATTAGGGCATTTTGCTTCTAGGAGGTATTGTATTGTTACAAATTAGGTAAGAATCTGTTAAATTTCATAACTTTTGTTCATTATGTGTTGCTCGTTTGTTTGGTTTGGCGGAGTCTGCTAAGAGTGTATGTTGTTACTTGTAATTCATTCTGCCCCTGGCAAGACCCTCGCTATGAACGCCTTTCGGTTAATTTTCTTATGTCCTTTTGATGCTTGGTTGATCTCACATGTATGCAAGTGCTCTTGTTGAATTGCATAGAAAAGTGAATTGCAGCTATTGCTCATAATGTAAGGGTCTTGAGCTCCTGTGCTCAATATTTGGTCGCATTTATGTTGAGTTGCAATCAAAGTTGTGTGTTTTAGGAAAGTTGCCATGCTGGAATTGTTGTCTGATGATTTAATATTGGATTAAGAATATATATTTAACAATGAGTATTTTATTTTTACTGCACGCATAGTTCCTCGCTTTTTTCACTTGCACTTGTGACTTTGGTTGTGAGTTTTTAATTATCTTTTAGTAGAACGTGTAAATAAATTAATATGTTTGAAGTATATACATTAAAAAAAATTAACAACAGTATATGTAAAATAGTTAAAGTCGATGTCTCAATGAGTCAATGGTGCAATTTTTAAGAATGGATTGGAATTTTATTCAACGTTATCACGTTTTTAAATTTTAACGAGTGAATTTATGCATATGTTTTCAGTCCCTTTTCTTTCTTGCAATCATCCTTTACCACTCGTTGTGCATTTGCACCACAACACCACCTACTCACTCAACCATGACCTACACGCCTAGCACTAACCGCCGCTGCCTAAAAAACTTGAGCACTGCTGTGGTATTGTTCAAATTTTTCGGTACGGATAATTTGGGCTGTATCACCATGGTGCCATTAAAATCCCAAGTGACTTTTTGGTGACTGTGTGGTACTACCTGAAATTTTCTGTGCCATTATGGTACCACCAAAACTTCCTACTAGTATTTTCAATGTTAGATGACAGCGATAGGTGACGTTGTTGAGGAAGGGATGAGAGAAGTGGAAAGGGTAAGATTTAAGCAAGTGATGGAGAACCGTTGAAATATGCCTTGAATTGGGTTTAGGAGGAGTGAGCTATAGCTTGTGAGGTAGCTCATTAGTTTCGGAAACATTTGAAGTTGCAACCGAGTTGGATAGCTCCTATGCGAGCGAGCTATAGCTCACGGTGAATGGTACATTTGCAAGGGGTGAGCAAGAGCTCGCTCAGTAGCTTGCGAAGGCAAAGGTGTACTAGGGGAGAGCAATAGCTCGCTCGACCATGAGCGATTGCTTGGCTAGGGGCCGAGCGTGAGCTCACTCGATGGTGAACAATAGCTCGACCAGGTAGAAGCTTGCTCAATAATGAGCGAGAACTCTCCGTTTGCTCGTGGTGGAGCCCACATAACTACTTTAAGTTATGTTAGTCTTTTGTTAAGCATTTATCTATCTTTTTTCTATTCTTTAAGGATTAATAAAACTTTTTTCTAGCCTGCCCGTGGACGTAGTCAAAACAAGTGTTGGTGAACCATGTAAATCTGTGTGTTATTTATTTGTTTTGCATTCTTTAATTTGTTCTTTCTCACATCCGTTACAACAATTACAATTTACAAAGTACGGAGTATTTGGTTTTGAGTTGTGTTTCATATGGTTTTAGTTTTGAATTACATTACAAAGTATTTGGTTTTTTACTTTCCAATACTTATGTGCACGTTTTTTATTTTTCAATACTTATGAACATGTGCACATTTTCACTTGAGTAAACTCTTATTTTTTAGATATAGGCTCATGTTCATTTATTTTAACCTTTATTATATTCCTTGAACCAAGTAATTATATCACTGGCCATTGAGCCCCAAATGCACAAACCAATAATTGGATCGGGGCATTCCATTCATTCATTACACTTTGCCACACCTTCGATAATTTGTCCTTTGAAATTACGAAGGTTGCTACACACAATAATTAGTTTCAATAATGTTGCTGCAGGAAACCTCAAAATGTTCAATATGCATGTGTTCTTATTACATACTTCGTATTTATCAGAAATGAAAACGACAACATTATATATACGAAGAGTATACTAAAAGGATTAGCATGAAATTTCTTGGCATTTACTTGCACATTTTATACAATTTACATTGCGTAGAAATACTCAAGTCGGTCCAATAAATTTTTATCTTGATATGTAAACTTGTACTTACAAATAAGTTCACTAGTCAAATTACATAACTTGAACGTATAAGATTGTTCAGCAACTGTGTAAATAACCCCACTCTATTGTTACGAAATTTCGTTGGCCTTAATATTAACATATAAGGTATTAGCCAGTAAACTTCGAAGAAGTTTCCTGAATCGTACAATGTGTTTTTTTTCTGGGATTTAATTGTAACCTGGAGAATCATTAGTATAACAGCAACAAACGCATCACACCTTTCTTGAGCTAAATTCCAATATCACTCTATATTCTCCTTAACAGTATCTTACAACGTACGGGGGAAGATTGTCGCCCCGCGACAAAGATGGATTATACATTAGATACTCCTCGTATTTAACGTTGTGCAATATGATGTGTCTAGTCTCTACTCTCTCTATTTAAGATATACTTCCTCCGTTCTTTTTTACTTGACTCGCTTTTACTTTTACACTATTAATCACCTCTTATTTGACCGTCTTTTGTGAATGATATGTAAAGAAAAATATATTCATATGATATATTTTTTAATTCATCTCATTAAGTACTATCGTAATATACAACTTTTACGGAGTATAATTTTTACTTATGAAGAATTAAATTTATTGATCGTTAAAGTCTTACATTGGCAAGCGCGATAAAAGAAACATGTCAAGTAAAAAAAAAAAAAACAGAGAAAGTATGTTCCATTAATAAACACTTTAAAAAACGGAAGGAGTATTTAAAAATATAGATTATAAAAAGTTGTTATTCAAAAAATATACATAGTAAATGTTAGAAAATAAAAGGGTGTTGTGTTTGATTAGTGCGGAACAAGACAATGATATAATAATAATGAGAAAAACAATAAAGAAGATAAACAAAGAACACAAGGATTTACGTGGTTCGATCAAATTAAACCTACATGTAGGGGATTAATATACTCTATAATGGAGAAAGAACACTACAAGGAGCCTGAAATCTTAATTGCTCTCTAAGGTTTGCTAGAGCTATAACTCACTTTTTGTAGCAAGAAGCCTTGCCTACACACTTCTCCGGGCAATCTATTGCTCACTACTCCAAAACACCATTCAATATACATTATTAAGATGATGATTTTAAATTGTAACTATATGACTATTTTTTCATATGTATAGATCATTAATAATATTGGTCAAAATGGATTGTATAATTAATAGTATACTGCAAAATGTTGATATGAGACTCAATGTCAATGCAATATTTTAACCATTATATTTTTTAATTTTTAATTAGTTTAGCTTATAAACATCTAATATTATGAAGGTATACAATTATACATTGTGACTAATCCCATCAAAGTTTACTTAATAACAGTTTTTTTTTTAAATTTTTTTACTAATAATTCTAGTCAATGTAGTGACGCAATTATTCAGATACGGAGGAGTAACACACATGTGAGTAAGAAACAGAGGGAAAATGACGAACATGTACAACATTGGCGAGCTATATACTCTATTTATATCACAAACTGAGTTCAAATTACTAACGTTTAAGACATAGAGCTTGTGTATGCTATATTGTTATGTCTCAAGTTAAAATCCTCTTACTGGCATTTGGATTATGATTGGTAGTTTTGGTACTCTTTTAAAATATGTGGCCAAACTCTCTTTTAATATACACTAGATGTAAGCCCGTGCGATGCACGGTTTTTTAAATATTTCATTTTGTATATTTTTTTTTTGTAATTTCTTAATATTTTTTTGTTTTTATTTTCTATTCTATTATTTTAACATTAATTTATGGTAAAATATTTTGTTAAGTTTTAAAATATTCTTATTCAAATTTTACGTATATAGAACTTGAATATATAAATTGAAATAAATATTATCTCATTCATCGGATAGTTAGATAAAATCATTAAATCAAAATATATTTTTTAATTTCTAATTATTTGTTAAAATAATATAAATCCTAATGTAAAAGATAATATAAAAGATCATTTTTGTTTTTTTTTCATAATTTAAATATTAAATTACTATTTTTTGTTTTCAATTCTCAAATTTCATTTGTTAAATATTTCTTAAATGGCGACTGAATATTAAAATTCTAAATTAATTATAAATCTAATTTTTCATTGGTCGAAATATTACTTTTGCTTATGTGGCGTGCAATGCACGAATTTTTATATACATTTTGTATATAAATATTTTTGTGGTGATCTCTTAATTTTTTTCTTGCATTATAAGTTTTAAAATTTTGTATGAAAGTATCATATCATCAGGTATTTAGTTTTGTAACAAATAAAAATGATAAAATTTAGTGTTCTTAAATAATTAAAATCCTAATAAATTACTATTCGTCGTTTTTACCTTAGTGGAAAAATTTAAAATTTCATTCGTCACTTTTGTTTAGGTGGCGAGTGATTTTTTTAATTCTAAAATAAAATAAAAATCTAATTTTTGATTGGTCGAAAATATACCTTTTCTTATGTGGCGCTCCCAATGCTCTCCAAAAATGCCTACTTTATTTATATATATATATATTAGATTAGTACATTTTTGCCTCACATTTGAAATGAAGATGAACTCTCTCTTTGCAACCTAGCCATAAATTTGATATACTGTAGATAGATTTTCTAGTAAAATTCCAAAAAAAAAAAAAAAAAAAAAAAAAAAAAACTAGTTTATAATGCTTAATACTTATTTTTACTAGTTTAAAGTAATTGTCACTGATTCACAAGTTATTTTGTTAATATATAACAAATTTGTTAGCATTTTAAAATTTTCATTGTGAATGATGTATGTATGTGGTACGAGTACCTCTTTTTAGTGTTCGAGAAAGGTGACATGTGACACATATACTTTTCAAGGAATGCTTTTTAATTAGTATATAAGGTTCTGTTATGTTCAGCTTAGAGAGCCAGAATCAATCCCAAGATCTTCTGGAATCAGGATCGGAGGAAAACAATAACCACTTGAGCTATCTCTCGTGACGATTCTATATGATTATGTTTTTCTTTACTATAAATTAGAAAATAAAGTCAAATGATATTGTATAAATATTGCCGGAGTAAAACTAGGTCCAGTTAAACAGATTGTGAAAGTAGTGGAATTTGTTTTACATATATACTTTTATTTTTATAGGGTTCGTTGAATTTTACTTACCAAAACGGATTATTCCTCATTATGAGTGAAGTTTACATTTTCAGAAAAAACCCTAAACGATAAAGAACACGCAAAAATCGATCTCCTTAAAGACAAACTACACTGAAGTGGGCAGTAGTGCAATTATCCAAGAGTAATCTACACTCTATAAATACAAGCAAAGTAGCTAAGCTGCAAGAGAACATTGAAAGCACATTATTTCTTTTATATCCTTTCAATTCCAAGACAAGTTCTTAACAAAAAAAAAAAACGTGTATTTGAAGGCTAAGTTTAGGCTAAGTAATGGCTTTACTCAAGAAAGCGAATGGCTTAAACCAAAGAAAAGTTGTAGCATGGATGGTTTGTTTGATCATACTGCTTCTGAATGCAGTAGCCTATGCCGAGAGACCCTTAAAGGATACCGCGAATCATCCTGCAATTAGTATAGTTGATCAAGAGCAAGTTGTGAAAGAAGGCCTTTTGACTAAGATGTATCATTTCTTATGGAAAGCAGGAGAATCCTCATATCAACCTGTTTGGCCTGTTAGTCTACTTGTACTCAGCTTGTATTTTCTTTCTAGCGCCTTTTGTTGAAATGTTGAACATTTTTGGTGTTCTGATGTATGTTGTCATTGTTTTTGTCATGTGTTTGTTGAGCAGGATATCGAGTTTGGTTGGAGGATCGTGGTGGGATCGTGTATAGGGTTCCTTGGTGCTGCACTTGGAAGTGTTGGTGGTGTTGGAGGTGGTGGAATATTCGTACCAATGCTTACTTTGATCATTGGTTTTGACCCTAAATCATCCACTGCCATTTCAAAATGTGGGTATATAGTCTTCTCATTGTAGTATTGTTTAAATTTAGGTGTTGTTTTTTGAGAGCTTATATATAATTTGGAAACTAAGTATCTAAATCTTAGAAACAATAAAATGAGATTTCTTGGCCTAAATTGTGGAAATTGTTGATATTTCAGGTATGATTATGGGAGCTGCTACATCAACAGTATACTGTAATTTGAGTCAAAGGCATCCAACTTTGGATATGCCTCTTATAGACTATGACTTGGCTGTACTAATCCAGCCTATGCTTATGCTTGGGATCAGCATCGGAGTTACCTTCAACGTCGTGTTTGCTGATTGGATGGTCACTGTCCTTCTCATCATCCTTTTCTTAGGTGCCTTGATTATAAACATACATTTTTCCATCTGCTAAAATTAAATTTTTTATTCAACCAAATTTTAACAAATTTATCAAGCTTTGACACATGTTGCTTATGGCTGGCAGTTACGTCAATAAAAGCTATACTCAAAGGTGTTGATACATGGAAGAAAGAATCGCGAATGAAGGAGGTACTACACATTAATTAGTTCATGATAATACCATCAATTACACAACCTGCAGTCCTGTACTTGAGCATAAGTTAAGAGATTTTTAATTGTTTACTGATGAGTTTGATCGCTTTTGGTTGTATTGTTTCAGGTAGTGGCCTCATTGCCTAAGCCAGAAGGTCAGCTTAAGTTTTCAACCTGTAAATATGTCGCAGGATTCTATTAGTCAGATTCAATGCAAAAGAAATAAATAAATGAAGTAAATAAAAGAAAAAAAATTCAAGAAGTATTCCTGATAAATCAGAATGTTTATGTTTACTATCTACAGAGGAGTCTGGAGGAGACTACAAGCCATTAGCCAGTGGACCTCCTGCTCAGCCTGCACACGATGCTAAGGTCCGCCTTTTCACATCAAAAACATCACTTACAAAACCCCTTTAAACTTCCAATTACTAACCTTTTTGGTAGCATGAATGATCTTAGGTTCCTATGTTATCCAACATATACTGGAAAGAGCTATCATTGCTTATATTTGTTTGGGTTGGTTTTCTTGCTATTCAACTCATCAAGGTGAGTGTTTTTTTGGTGAAACATTAAGTCCTTTTTGTAATGAAATATTTTCCTTATATGTTTGGGGTAAATTGTTAACTGAATTACCTTTGTTTGCAGAAATATACAGTGACCTGCTCCACTCAGTATTGGCTTCTAGATCTACTGCAGGTAAAACTTGAAAATATTCTCATGTGACACCTTAATTATTAGAGGGTCGGGACAATATGATTATTGATTCCGGACTAAGGAAGAGTATTATGTTGGAGTACATGCTCAACATACCACAGTGATCTGACAAGCATTACCTTTTGGAATGCAGGTACCTATAGCTGTATCAGTCACGCTATATGAAGCAGTAGGTTTGTACAATGGGACTAAGGTTCTTTCATCCAAGGGAAAAGAAATTTCCAGTTACAAGGTGCACCAAATCTTCTTGTACTCTATGTGTGGTGTAATTGCCGGTATGGTTGGTGGCTTGCTTGGGCTAGGCGGCGGATTCATCATGGGACCTCTCTTTCTTGAACTCGGTATTCCTCCTCAGGTATACAGACATCAGTATCTCGAATTAGAGATTATTTAGAGAAGAAAACATAGAGCTTGGAACGACGTTTCCCAAATTATCTATGTCTAATCAATTGATAAATGGTATGCAGGTAGCAAGTGCCACTTCAACATTTTCAATGATATTCTCATCCTCGATGTCTGTCATTCAATACTACATCCTTAAGCGATTCCCTGTTCCATATGGTAAAATTTTTAATCACATAATGTAAAATGCGTCTTATTTTTAATAACTTGCTAGAAGTGGTAAAATGATAAACTGTGTATGTGTTGTTATCTAATCACTTTCTTCTGTCTTTCAGCGGCTTATTTTGTCCTGGTTGCTACACTAGCAGCCTTCGCCGGTCAGCATGTTGTAACAAGGGCAGTAAAAGTGCTAGGCAGAGCCTCGATTATCATCTTTATCCTCGCATCAACGATTCTTATTAGTGCAGTCACCCTAGGTACATACAATCATGCATTCCTATTCAATTATGCTTCATCTATTTTGAGACTAAAAATGATTAACTACTACGGAGTTTATGTTAAATTAACACATTACATAAAAAAAATGGTCCCATTAACATATATCTTTGTTCATCTTTGGCACACTAGTATATATGTGCTAGTGCACGAGTTGGTAATAGCCGGTGCACTAGCACATATACGTAGTAATGAATTGCAATCATAGTACAGAAATTTCGTACTATTAAATATCGAGCATAATTGCATTTTGTTTAACATTGTAGGTGGAGTGGGAATAGCGAACATTATAAGTAAGCTGCAGAATCACGAGTACATGGGTTTTGAGAATTTCTGTCGTCGTTAATCCTCTTGTAATTAAAAAAATTTTGTATCTCACCTCAGTATGTTGAGGTGCTCTAATTGTTTACCTTATTTTCATTGTTATTATTTTTGTAGGCGATCAATTTCGCCAAATTGCAAAGTCTCAATTCAGTATTTCAAACATAGTATCATAGAAATTTTTTGTTATCATAAATCAGCAACATGTTTTGCTCTGAAATGTCTAATGTATCACTCACATGTATTGTTCTGATTTCTGTTGTCTCATAAAGTCGATGATCGACTCTTTTCACTATAAAAATTCTACTAGTACTTGTATATTGCGCACCATGAAATATGTGACTGAGTAGCACACCAAGGGTTCTAGTATAGTAAGAGATCTCTAGAGTGAGTAGGGCAGTTCTGATTGACTAAACTGAATTTATTAGAGCAGAGCTGAACTGAACTGAACTGAACTAAATATTTTATCAGAGAAGGAAAATAGGAGCTAAAATGAACTGAACTTAACTTATTATAACTCAACTGAACTGGAAATAATTGTATCACTTTATCACCATAGAGTCTTATCTATATATGGACCGGTAGTGTCCCGTGAAGCGGTGATATGATTTTGCTATGTTAATGATTTCACAAAATAGTACAAAAGTCAAATTCATTTTTGAAGTGGAGTAACTAATAAGGATAATAGATACATATATGTTGGGTGAAAAATATTTAATTTGTGAATTCTTGACGACGGTAATCGTCCAATTTTATTTTAGGATAAAGATAATAATTTCACCACTAATTTACCAAACATTATTATTAGAGGACAAACATTTAAATTTTTTTTTTTGATATACAATAAAATATTATACATATATCCGCTTTAAAGTTACCTTAAAGTGATCCGAAGTTACACTATAATGAATAAAAGTTGCTCATTATATATAATGAAAGTTATTTAAGATTTATGGATAAAAGTTACCCTAAATTTAATAAAAGTTACCTCGATATATATCAATATTATTGTACATCAGATGATGCAAAAGTTTTTTTATTTGAGTTTATGAGTAATTTTTTTTTTATTTTTTTTAACTTAATCAATATATTAAGTGACTTTTTTTTTTAATGAAAGAGCTAGAAGTACCAATAATCAAGAGTTGGGCAAGTTGTTGATTAGTACATAGGGAGCAATATCAAAAGGATGATTTTCCCACACTTGCTCAATTCCAAAATGTACTATCCTAATTAGGTGATGGGCGATAGAATTCTCATCCCTACGAACATGAGACCAATAAACAAAATTAAAGTCTTTGCAAACAAACATAAGATCATCTAGAACAGAATCAAGGTCTAAGAAAATAATCATGGCTTTCAAAAGCCGATTTAGAACTACTTGGCTATTTGATTCCACCACCAAGTTCTTCACCTCGTACCTTCGAGCTAGCTTATAGCCGAAAAGAATTGCTTTGCACTCAGCAATTTCAGGGGGCAAATTAAAGTGACTGTTTGGTTAAATGAAAACTCTCCGTCCCCTTTTGATAGTCCCTTATGACATCTTTCACGAGAATTAATAAACACAAATAAAAATAATATAAGTACGTTGAAATAGTAAATTGACATTGGGTATGCAAAAAAGCAGAGAGAGAAAGTAATAAAAGTACATGGGAAACAAAATTTACATGGAAAAGTTAAATTTGTACAAATATTGTTGCAAATTGGAGGGAATTTTGGTAAAAAATTAATATTAATGGTTGTTGAAAAAAACAAATGAAATGAACATTTTGGGACTAAAATTTGCCCATAAAGACTATCATTTGGGGACACAGGGATTAACTCAAGAATTAATGTTTGATTGAGCGTACCTAGGACTATAGGAGGTCTTATGTTATTAATTCTTTTACTCCGTATTTTTTTTTTTTTTTTTGAAAAGTTTACTTTTATAGGAATTTGACTTTTTATGTTTTTGTCTACCAAACAATTTTATAATCTTCTACTTTCCATGACTTTCCTATCAATAAAACAAGTTTTAAAACTACTCTGTATATGCCATTTGTTAAGGATTTAATTACAGTACTGTACAAATTTCGCCAAAAAAAAAAAAAAAAAAACTCCACAATTTAAATTCAACTACAAATAATTACACCAAACTTAAAAATAACCTAAATAGAAAAACCCCTAGCAAATACCTTGCATTGTAAAATGAGAAATTAACCACTTGTTTTTTTAATTCCCATTATCCACAAACACAGAGACCCATACAATCAAATCACCATTAAATTAAATTATAATTAACAACACACTGCAAAAAATAAAATAAAAAAGTAGGGGTACCCAGTACAAAAAAAAGTAAAGAGATTTGCAGATATTCATGAACAACAGCAATTCAGCAAAGAAAATTCAAAAACTTGGGAATATCCCACCTCCCACCTTATATAAAAAGGCAAGGGCAAAATTGTCATAAAAATTTTCGATTTCCCGCCCAAGACGCATGGTCTAATTCATTAAATTACCATATTTTCCTTCCTTTTTTTTTAATTTAATTTTTTTTAAAAAAATAGTGGTAGTACTACTAGTCTACTACTGCCCTTCTCTCACTTCCTCCATTTTTTCTCTATCCTCACCTCTTCACATTCTTCCTTGAGCAAACCAACTTCTTCTGCAAATTCTTCTTCCATTTTCTCTCTCTTCAAGGTTTGTTTTCTGGATTCTTCGTTTTTTGTCATTTTTCTCGCATTTCGATGTTTTTGGTTGAATTTCAAATTTCAAAAACCCTAAGTTTTTGAGTGGTTTATGTAATGTATTTACAGTTTCTGAATTTTGTTTATGTTTTGGTTTTGTTGATGCTTGAAATTGTTTGATTTCTTACTTGTTTTTTATTTTTATGTTGTTTAGGTTTTGATTTTGGAAGAGGTTAGGGTTTGATAATGGCAGAGGAAAATGAAATGAAGGTTGATGATCCTAACGTTGATTCTCCTACTTCTGTTCTCGAAGACGAGGTATTCTTCGATTTTCTGTCGTTTTATTTGTCAATTGAATTATCAAGTTATAAATTTTGATTATGTCTGTGTAATTGTGTTTTTACTCCCAATTTTTTTGGAAGAATTTATTTGTTGAGTGTGTTTTCCTTCAAACTTACTGTTCATTCATATAAATTTGTGTGTATATCCTTTATGCTGTTTAATGTCTGAATTGTTTAAACTGATATTACTGGTTTGCCTTGCTAATGTTCTTTAATTGTTTACCAAACTCTCACATTTTCGACGAGGTTTTCTACCATTGTTGTTCACTTGTTCAGTGTCTTGTTCAATAGTCATAATGTTAGACTACCTCCGTTTTATATTATTTGCAACGATTTGACATAAAATAGAGAGGAAAAATGTCTAATGGTTGCCAATAATATGAAATGGAGGTAGCATTTTTGACTCTCAATTGGTATGATAAACAACATTTTAGTAGTGTTGTCGAGCTCTTGTTTGTAAGTGTGTGCTTTGATAGCTGGTTACTGGATTTTGGTCTAGCATTGCTATTGATTTTTCTTCGTTCTGATTTGAACTTTGTCATTGCGTTTAGCCTTTGATAATTTTTTTTTATTTGTTAATTTCTGTGAACCTACAGGATATAGTAAAGGAAGAACCTGAAGTTAGCGATGTACTTATAGAAGCAAAAAATGGAGATGCTATTCTTATATCGAAAGAAATGGCAGAGGAAGAAGAGAAGCTGCTTGAAGTGAGAGTGAAAGAAGAAATTGCTGAGAAGGAAAGATTGGCGGCTGAGGCAGCCACCCTTAACGAGTCTCAGTTTTCTAAGTTGGATGATCTTTTAAGTCAAACACAGCTCTACTCTGAGTTCTTGTTGGAAAAGATGGATGACATTACATTGGTATGTGTTATTAGCTTTTTTGTATGCTATTGTTGGTTGTTGTTGCGCTTGTATATGCTGATTCTTTTCTTTATGTGCTTGATGACTATAGAATGGAGTGGAAGAACAGGAAGAAGAAGAGCTGAACAAAGGAAAAAAGAGAGGGCGAGGCGGTAAGAAGAAAGCTGTACAATATAACGATGTAAGTACTTTACTTAATGAATTAAAAAATGACATTGTTGCATTTTCTGATGTGTGATCTACATGTGGATAAGTTGTTTTGTTGAAGATGAAGCTTATTTGTTTCTTAGTCCAAAATTTTTGATTATATATTTGTGGCCATTGGTTATCTATTTTGTGGTGTAATTGATGTGTATCTCTTTGTGCAGAAGAAAGCTAAGAGAGCAGTTGCAGCTATGATTACTAGATCTAAAGAAGGTACAGCTGCTGAAGATACTGATCTTACTGAGGAAGAAAGAATTGAGAAGGAGCAGTCTGATCTTATACCATTGTTGACTGGTGGGAAGCTGAAGTCTTACCAGATCAAAGGAGTGAAGTGGCTTATTTCTCTCTGGCAGAATGGTCTAAATGGAATCCTAGCTGATCAAATGGGACTTGGAAAGACAATTCAGACCATTGGGTTTCTGGCTCATCTTAAAGGAAAAGGTTTGGATGGGCCTTATATGGTTATTGCTCCTCTCTCTACTCTGTCAAACTGGATGAATGAAATGATTAGGCAAGTATTTACTACTGCGGTTGTGTTTTAGTTGCTTCCTTAGTTTCTCAAACATAATGCCATTTTGTTCTTCTACTATCAGGTTTACGCCATCAGTGAAAGCCATAATTTATCATGGTGATGCAAAAGAAAGGAATCAGATACGCGTGAAACATATGCCCAAAAGCATTGGTCCGAATTTCCCTATAGTTATTACTTCTTATGAGGTAGCTCTAAATGATGCCCGTAAACACTTGAGGCATTACAAGTGGAAATATGTTATAGTTGATGAGGTAAAATATTAACGCTTTGTGTTGCATTTTCTGTTCTTTATCTTTGCTTTTTAGAGGGCTTACTCCAGTGGTGGTTGTATGTTGAATAGGGCCATCGTCTGAAGAATTCAAATTGCAAGCTATTCAAAGAGTTGAAGCGTTTGCCTATTGAGAACAAGCTTTTGTTGACTGGAACACCATTGCAGAATAACTTGGCTGAGCTGTGGTCGTTATTGAATTTCATTTTGCCTGACATATTCTCATCTCATGAAGAATTTGAGTCTTGGTTTGTGTTTTACTTACACTAGTTATTTTGGCTTGTTACCTCATCAATATCGCAATCTAGTTTTGAAATACTGCTGTGCTGTATTGAAGTGTAGGAGGATCTGACATGCAACATCCAATGTACAATTGGGTGTTGAAGTACACCTAATTTATGTCAACTTTCTTAACATATACTTTGATTTCAGCTTCTTGGTTTACCTTGGCTTTATAAAAATTGATGGACACTGAAACTTTATTTTTATAGTAACACTGACTCCTTAAACCTTTTACTTACTCTTGAATCTCTGGGCGGATTCTATTGTCATGGCTTTGAGAAATAAGATTTGAATTTCATATTCTGAATATGGAAAATTTGAAGCCAGCATGAATAGAGTTCATTTTTAAAATAAATGTTTCTTTGTCCAACATGAATAGAGATCATATTACAGCTTTCGGGGCACCTAAATTTGTTACTTTAAGGTTCCATTAGAATTTTTAAAAAAAGTTTCTTGATTGAGTTATTCGATATCATCATAATTTTACAAGCAAAAAGTAAAGCTAGATCTTCGATTGTGATGGCTGTTCCTGTTAAATGATTAACTATTAGTTTTTTTTTTTTTTTTTTTTTTTTTTTTTTTTTTTTTTTTTTAAATGTAATATTGATTTAAATTTTATGGAGCTTGAGTAAGGGGGTAATGAGATTATCTCCCTTGTGTCACTTAAACTCGGGCTGTTCGATATTAATGGCACGTTCATTTTTTTACAGGTTTGACCTGTCAGGAAAGCGTAGCAATGAAGAAGTGAAGGAGGAAGTAGAAGAGAAAAGGAGGGTTCAGGCATGCATTTAAGCTATTTTTAAAAATGCTGTGAACTTTGATATACTTTCTTTTGTAATTATTTAAAAAATTATTTTATTGTGGTATACTGAACCTGTATGTTGTAATTAGGTGGTAGCCAAGCTACATGCCATATTACGTCCATTTCTCCTTCGCAGAATGAAGGCTGATGTTGAACAATCTCTCCCCGGCAAAAAGGAGATAATTTTGTATGCTACCATGACTGAGCATCAAAAGAATTTTCAGGAACACCTCATCAATCGAACGTTGGAAAATCATTTAGTGACGAATGTAAGCTTAGGTAAGGCATACAGTTTATATTACGGTTCTTGTCCACACTGGTTAACAAACCTGTAGCTTCTTAGAAGCACCCTTATCTTTTAAAATGCAAGTATATTGTAGTTTAGTACATCTTTTCCGTTCCTATGATACCAACGATATATGTGGAGATGATGTGTATCGTGTGATTTTTCCTTTTCTGATAAATTTGTCATGCCTATATAAAGCTTGTTTGACAATTGAGATTATTATCTCTGAGAATCAAGGTTATTGTTCTGACTGTTATGTATTCTTTTTGATATGGCTTTAATTACCTGCCATATTTGTGGATGCTAGCATGTTTAAGTGCTAAAGTGCATGGAAAAAGAAAGAGCTGGTGTTTAAAGTTGAATTGTGACCCAATCATCAGTTGTATTAGTATGTTGATGGCTCAGTGGTTGTGAAGTGGCTATTAGAGGTTGATGGATTGTTTTGAAAAGGCGGTCCACAATCCATTATTATCTCATAAATTAGCAGTATTGGCAGTATCAGTTGTTGATGTTGTAGTGTGACTAGCTTCCATTAGGTTTTTTTTTACCCCTTATTAATCTAGTGGTTTATGTGTGGCTCAGTAAATAAAATTGAATTAAGCAGTCACAAGCTGTAATAGTACCTATTAATGTTAGTGTTATGTAGAATTGTTGATAGTTTGGTTTCAAGCTATTATGCTTTAAATTTACAATCAATTATTGTCTGATAACATGGATTATGTTCATTCCAAAATTGCAGGACCTGTACCACGTGGTTTTAAAGGAAAGCTTAATAATCTGATGATTCAACTCAGGAAAAATTGCAATCATCCAGATCTCTTGGAATCTGCTTTTGATGGATCATGTGAGTGCCTAGGATGACCAAATTTAAAAGTCTGTTACTTAGTATCTCTTATTTAATGATTTTGGAATTCTCCTTGTGGCAGACTTCTATCCTCCTGTGGAACAAATAGTTGGACAGTGTGGCAAATTCCAGCTGCTGGACAGGTTGCTGGCTAAACTCTTTGCCCGAAAGCACAAGGCAAGTATTTGAAGTTGAAGTTTGCACTTATCATGTCTTACTGGGTGATGTAGTTTTATTTCTACTAGTGATTTCTAATCTAGTAGTTTATTGCTCTTAGGTTCTTATATTCTCTCAGTGGACCAAAATTCTTGACATAATGGATTACTACTTCAGTGAGAAGGGATTTAAGGTTTGCAGAATTGATGGCCATGTGAAACTTGAAGATAGGAGGAGGCAGGTCTGTGCTTGTGGGCTTGCATTAAAATTTATGCCAATTTTTGCTCATCATTTTATTTTCATGGCTTGTAATAGCCTTCCTTTATTCTGGATTTTTTTAAAAATTGTGTTTCCCGTTGACTTGAAAAATTTTCTGATGCATCTATTATTCTACAGATTAATGATTTTAATGACATAGACAGCGAATATAGAATATTTCTTCTCAGTACAAGGGCTGGTGGATTAGGAATAAACCTTACTGCTGCGGACACTTGTATTCTCTATGACAGTGACTGGGTAAATTTTCACTTTTGTTCTGTGATTATTTATTTTTGTTTCTCACCTGAATTGTAATGTTATTCACGAGAATTGCATCTACTTGCCAGAACCCCCAAATGGATCTGCAGGCAATGGATCGTTGTCACAGAATTGGTCAAACTAAGCCTGTTCATGTTTACAGGCTTGCCACTGCACTATCGGTTGAGGTACTTTCCTGATTAAATTGGCTCTGTTCTTGTGAAATAGACTTCAATGCCTTTTGCATCTGTTGAGGAACTTGAGGTTTTTTTTTTTCAGGGTCGTATGCTGAAAAGGGCTTTTAGTAAGCTGAGGCTTGAACATGTAGTCATTGGTCAGGGGCAATTCAAGGCTGAAAGGACAATGAATAATATTTTGGAGGTATCTTTCTTGCAACATCTTATTCTGCTGCTTTGGGTGAAAGGATGAAAAATGTTTTGCTGGATTTGTCATATAGCACAAAATGAGAAAACTAACTGTATCATTGTTCCTCTCTACGGTGAGGAAAATAATTCGAAAACAAGTGCTCAAGCCTAATCTCATCAAGGGGTTGTGCACACCTATAATATTTATCACTATGATTATGTCCAACTGAAATATTGTTATTTGAACATCTTGTATTGAATCCATCTTCCATGCAACTAAATGGGGCCTTAGTACGGTGTAACAAAACTTGACTTGCAGTGCGTATTCGGGTAGGGGGTTATTCTGCCCCACTCTCTATTTCATTTTTGTCATGACTGCTAATGGCTACATTGCCTGTTCTTTAATCTGTTATGCTGCTGATTATCTAAGGTGTTTTACATTCTTCTCTGGCTTTGTTGCTAAGTACAGTTATTGTTACAGCTGAGTGCCTTACATTTGACCGACTAGCATGTCTAATTTTCACATGTTTTCATAAATCTGTTTTGACTTTTGTCAAACCTGTGTATATTGATGTTAATTCATTTTGAAAGGTTTGTTTGATATTTTTTATGCATTGGATGTGTCATACTGTCATGTTCTCTTTGTAAACCGCTCTTGTTCATTACCAGGAGGAGGATCTGCTGGAACTTCTCCGAGAGGAAGAAGATGCTGAAGATAAAATTGTGCAGACAGAAATCAGCGATGAAGACCTTGAAAAAGTGCTTGATCGTACTGACTTGCTAATTGCATCAGGTGATAAAGGGGAGGCTGAAGTTGAGAAATTTGTGCTGCCCCTCAAAGGGCCTGGATGGGAGGTGGTTATTCCGACCGCAACAGGTGGTGTCTTGTCCACTCTTAATAGCTAGTAGTCTAATGCTACTCTTTACCAGTGAACACGGGACTCCCCTAGTGCATTTTATCAGCAGGGGGCTGGTGTGATTTTTTTGCGAGGTTAGTAGATTAATCTTTGTGCACCGTGGGAGAATATCTCCTGCTCCTTTCATTTTGTTTCATTGGCATTTAAAGAGTAGGAATTGCCATGAGAAAGGAAGCTGGATTTTGTAAATTACGTTGTCAGCTGTGTAGATTTTTTGGTCCTGGTGTTCTGACTCTTATTATCTATGAATTAATCGACAGTTTATGGGGCAGTATATAATGGGGTTTTTTTCAATGTTGCTCTCTATATAAGCTAGTTGAACTTGGAAGCTGAAATATGGCACCTTCAAGGTTTAAACCAACACTTTTGGCCTATGTTATACCTCGGGAAAAAAAGAATTCCGTTGCCGGGAATCGAACCCGGGTCTCCTGGGTGAAAGCCAGATATCCTAACCGCTGGACGACAACGGAAGATGTTGATCTAATCATTAGTTTATGAATTTGATAATCTGAATAAAGTATCGTTTACAACACACTAATTACAGGCTCAAAGTATTGTTATACTACGTATTTATTAATCCAAATTTGGTGTAAACCTTATTGATCCTTTTTTTCCTTCTCCTGTTGTTTTACTCTGTATCAAACAATATAAATAAGTACATTGAATTTTTAAAAACAAAAATTTATATGAGACGATCTCAAAACAAAATGTTGTGAAACCATAGTACTTTATATCATTGATGGTTCTCTTATTCCTTCATCACAGTAACTGAAGTATAACAATACAGATTTTTCAGTAGAAAGCTGATCACATTTCCAACTCTTGTTCTAACAACTAATTATACAATTAACAAGATAATCATTGTCAAAACCTAGTTTTTCATCATCATCATTAGAGGCTCCTGTCTTCCTTCTCAAAGCTGAACTCCAGAACCTAAGGCAAAACACACCGTGTTAGACCATCATAATCCGGTTTCTTGCGCTTTTGCTATGGCCTGTATGAGAATTCACCTTGCATTTTCTGTTTTAATTCCTAAAGCTTCATCATCTGCAGAAACCGATATTAAACTGGTAATTTTGAAATATCCTCGCCTCTTACTGCACGCATGATTTGTGCATCTACTGTAGTCAGTATTTGGGGAATTGACATGCCTCCAGAGATGACAATTTCTGTCCCAAAGTTTTTTGAAACAAGTCAGAAAATATAGACTGATACATTCCAATTACTAGTAAGTAGTAAGTAGTCATTTTTGCATATCTTTGAAATATCTTTCAATTTTCTAAGCTTACCTATGCCTTCGCGGACCGAGAGATTAGGCCTCAAAATATCTTTAGAGTTTACAAGAAACATGTCACCCAAGTACAGGTGATTTGTTGGTACATAGACACAGAAAAGTTCCTCTTCACCCATGTGGCTGTGAAGGGTGACAGTAGACGTGATAAATGCCAGTGTATATTCTCCTATGCGAGGATGTTTGATCATAGCCACTTCCTTAAAAGCTCGCGAGTTCTGATCTGAAATAATGACCATTGTCATCAAGTTATTAACTCAAAGATTAGGTCAAGGCTCATAGGATTTAACTGTATGTACACATACCTGGTGATATTGCTGCACTAATCTGTTTCGAAGCAGAGTATATATAGCTTATAAGGGGCATTTTCTTGATAAACCACTCCCCCAGCTGGAGGATGGAAGCTCCCAACCATGATGACATAATCACTCCCACCAAGAAAATGAATGTAATAGAGGTCACAAAGCCAAGGCCTAGAAATTTTCGCAATAAGATTAATCAATTGATCACATAGTCCATTTTCAGCCATTCAGATAGCACATTAGAGTTATATTACTATATTAGCTTAAAATTTATGAAGTTTAAGTAAAAAATTATGGAAGTTTTTAAGAGTTAAGGTTTTGTTAAAGGTTTTCCATTTAATCTTCTACTGCATTAAGAGGCATTCGTGAAGTTCAACAGCAAAACATTGCCTACCAGATGAGGAAAACTCTTAGCTTAGCGGACACTAGCTAGCAGCTAGTATCAGGGCTGAGAGCTTAAGCATGTATGAGAACGAGAGTCAGCTCTATTTACATGTATGATGTATGAAATAAAAGTGAAAACTACACTATTACATTCTTTTTCGAATCAAACAGCATCCTGTTCCTCTTTCAATCTACAATGACCCAAGTACCAGGAAGTAAAATTATCTCATACGAAAACACAAGTATACAGCAGAAAAAGATATAGTAGTACTAACCAAATATGTTTATTCCGAGTTGGGTAAAAATTGGTGAGAAGAATCCATCCACAAAATGAATAAACCACCAAGTGAAGTAAAAGGTGATGGCTATAGGAAGCAGAATCACACTGGAAAAAAAAAAAAGCCATATAAAACAACGAACAATATATTTGAAATTTATAACATAATATATAATTAAATAAATTAACTCCTTCCACCCCATTTTAATCCATACATTGAGGTTTTGGACGACGAAACAGAAATATAAATGTAGAGAATTAGAAATACTCATAACAAACTTTAAGATGAAACACGGTTTTACATTTTGATCAAAATTACATGCAATCTTGTTACAAACACGATATAATTAAAAGAGTTACAATATAACATTATAGCATAAGAATTAGATATTCACCTTCCAGACATAAACTTCTTTGTAGCCCAACTTCGAATGACTTTGCAACATGCCTACAAAATTAACATTACCAAATATTATGATGACTAAGAATATATTAAAATGTATGAAAATAGATCAAGCATACCATTATCTTATCTAATACAATTGAAAGATAAAAATAAACGATGAATTACAAGAATACGATTTCCCATATATGCATTGATTAAAGAAAAATCTAATCTTACACAATCAATTGCAGACAACATTCAAGCAAAACATAAGATTATTAACTAATTAAGGAAACCATTAAGAATTGGTTATGTAAATATCAAATTGGTTGTCAAATGAAGCTAGATAAACAATGAAAATCATCATATAACACGTAAAAAAATTGACAAAGTTTAACAGAGACAAAATCATGAAAAAGAATAGAAGGAACCTCTTTGCCGGAGGAAGTGTGATGAAATGATAAAGGACAAGAAGAAGGAGAAGAAGGGGCTGAAGGTTTCGAGGTTTCGAGGGTGGACACCAATGGCGGAACACTAACGGGGATTAGTAGCTCTAGATCTCTGTCTCTTTCTCTTTCTCTTTCTCTTGTTCCCATTTTTCTTTTGTTTTCCTGGAGTTCGTTATTTCATCAAAATGAGGCTAACTAACTTTTTGTGGTTTTTCTATTTAGGGACGAATTTAGAAATATATGACAAAATCAAGTATGGTATGATTGTTGTTTAATAAGTAAATAAAGAGATAGTCTCTATCAAATGACAAAATGGTAAATAAAACATTTATTAAGCAAATTTAGGATTAAAGATCACCTAGTTTATACAAAGTAGCATTTAAGGTTGCATTTTTTTCTCAATTTGTTTTGTATATTTAGTGCATATATATGGGAGGTGTTAAATACCGCCAACAAAAATTATCAAAACCGCCAACTTTTTAAGCAAAATGTCATTATTGCCCTTACTAAAATACTAAATCCAAACCCATCTTTCTCCTCTTTCTTTTTTCCCTCTCATCAACAACCCCTCCAGATCCCCAAAAATAGCCACCACCACCACAGAGACAACCGACGTACCAGTCAGCGGCGTTCAAGAGGTGGTGGCGCGTACATGGGTGACGGTGGTTGACGGTGGGGACATGGCTAGAAACCGGGGAAGGAGGTAAATTTGCCTATTATCCTTTTGTTTTGAATTTAAGGTTTTTTTTTTTAAAATTTCGGTGGCTGGTAACCGGCGCTCAAAACCAGTTGACCGCCACCGGTAACCGACGGTCAAAACCGGTTGACCATGCTGGTCAATCGGTTTGACCGCCGGTTACCGGTGGCGGCCAACCGGTTTTGAGCGTCGTTAGCCAACAACTTTTTTTAAAAAAAAAGAACTTTTTTTTATTCAAAACTTATTCTAATTAATTGTTATTATTATTACAAAATAATTATAATTAATTTTATTACTATTGTTGTAGATAATTATATTGATTAAATGTTATTATTCTTGGCAATCTAGTGTAGATGGTGGTAGTTGACGCGGTGGTTGTGGGTTTGTAGTGGTCGACATGGTGGCGTGGGTGGTACCGGTGGTGTGATTGGTGGTGGTTGATGTGGTTGCTTTAGAAGTGGTGGATGGAAATCATGGAATGAAGTTAAGAGAAAGAATATGGGGAAAATTTTAGTAAGGGCAATGTTGTCCCTTTACTTGAAATTTTGGCGATTTGATAAATTTTGTTGGCGGTATTTAGCAATTCACCTTTGGATATTTTTCTCAATTTTTAGAGAAATTCTTTCTTGAATAGGTTTGAAGCTAGTTATAGGAAATCATGCAATGGAGAAAAGAGGAGTATTTGAGGAACCTAATTAGAAAGAGGAGGAGAAAGGCCGAAATGGAGCTAGAAGACATCATCTAGCTGAGTTAATGCCTTTGGTTTAAAGCAAGTTTTGGAGATCAAAATCCTAATGAAATTTCATTATACATGTACATATAAATACTTAATTTTCGAAGAATTTAATGCTCAAAAATCTTCTATTAAAATATGTATATATATAGGTATTCTTTCATCCTTATCATCGTGTATACAAATTTAGGAACAAATTTATTCTATTCTCAATTAATTATCCAATTATCTTAAATGAAAATTTTCACTTTCTTAAATCATCGACCCATATAATGCGGGTCACATCGACGAATATATCACTCTCAATTCATTGACTTATAAGTTATAACCTTACACTATTTTTTTGTTGCGAATAACCTTACACTATTATATTACCTTTGTCGCTTTAATTTGCGCCATTTTCTTTATGAAAGTCGTGTCTTAATGATTGCTACATACATGAAACACCAACTGCACCACTTTACTCTAACAAAGATGATTTTAGGTGCAACATTTTTTCTTATATCATTTTCATTTAACCAAAACTTATAAAGTAATAAAGTAAAATTATAACTAACTTTAAGATATTACTCTCCACATAATTTTGACCATCAACATCTTTAATTAGAGGTTAGTAAATAAAAATTATGAAAAAATTAATTTATAAAAGTAGACATTATAACAAATCCAACAACATATTATTTGATGATATTTATATATTACACTGAAAAAGGCAGAGGGAGTATGAGTTGTCCTAATATAGAATAGTTGATTGTAAAAGTCGTTTCATTAAGGTGAAAAGAACTTACCCTAAAAATCCAAAGTGGAAGACAATCCTATCGAATGGTCTCTTTAACGGTTGTGCCGCCTAATTTTTTACCTTCAAATCCTTCATTCCAATTTGAAATTGAATTTCCCGGCTGACCTAACAGCGAGCGAGCGAGATGATAACAGAGAAGCTCGTCGATGATCATCATGCTTTCGCAGCGTAATTTCTCTCTCCTCTCCATAATTCTTCTTCTGCGATGTCTTACTCTTGTCGATCATGTTCAATTCATCTGTTCTTACTTGAATTTCCGATTGTTTTCTTCGAATTTTCATTGTTGAATGCATTTTCATGTTTTAGGTTTTGATTTGTTGTCGACTAATTTGCTGCGTAAAAGGTTTACTCGTTCGAATTTTACTTTGAATTCGGCAGATTATCTTCATTCTTATGTTAATTGTATAAATTTTAGCTGTTTTTGCAATTTTTATAGTGAATTCTTTGGAATTGTGTACAAATTTTCTGCTGAAAGTCAATTATCTGTTCAAATTTTGTATTTGTGGATTTTTGAATTCAATTGTGGAGTTGTATAATTGTATAGTTTGTAATTAGGTCACGTTTAGTGGTCGTGTACTCTTGCGATTGAAAAAGATGATTATGTACTTTTTTCAATGGCAATGTAAGGTCTATGCGTTTTTAATAATGTCGATAGCGTCTTGATTGACGTGTTTCGAATTTGGATTATGTCGACTAAATTATACTCTATGCATAAAAAAAAACAATACAAGTAATTTGTTTGTCAGAACAATGAGCCACATTGACTTTGGTGATCCAATTTCATTTAGTATTAGCATATATTTTAAGCTCTATTGTGAAATTAGCACATGTGGTTATATCTTACATCATTAGATTATCATATGGTAGTTCTTAGCAAGTGTGAGAAAAAATTGGCTTAACAAGCTTTGACCTCAACAGCAAAAAATGGCTGTTAAATAAAAAAACAAACACACACACACAAAAGGTGTAGGAAATTACAATAGCCACTCAGAATAGTGATGGAATAGCCAATTTATTGTCAAGCTTATGCTAGCTAGATCGCGCCAAATCCTTTATTTACCACGTTATGGAAAATGTAAAAAACTACTTTTGATGGAGGAAAAATCTTATTGTATTGGCTTCTTGTGTCTTGTTTGTTTTTAACTGAAAAGCCAATTACCAGGGATCAAACGAAACAATCTCTTTACAATTGTATAGGTCAAGTTAAAAGACCTTCTATACTGTTGCACGATTCTTGTTTGGGCCTAATTAAGGGCATTAGGGAAATGCCATGATATAGTCGTTGAACATTGGGTAGAGGAAGGAGAACTTCACTGTAAAAAATGTTTTCCTGCTTATCTGATTTTAAGGAGGTAATAGGATTAGCGTGTTGTTTAGTACATCCTTGCTTATCTGATTTTAAGGAGGTAATAGGATTAGCATGTTGTTTAGTACATCCTTCATTTACATTTAAATGCAACACACCTTCATAGCATGCACTTTGAGGAAGAGATTAAGTAACGTAAGCAGACAAATTAATCAAAATAATTTGTACATGTAGCTAACCCTTCTCTAATCTTGGTGGTGAATTTTTTTTTGATTAAGTAGCTTGTCTACCTACTTCAATCATCTCCTAAAATAGTGCGCTAAAAAAGTGTGTTGCATTTGAAAGAAAACAAAGGAATTATTTAGCCTAGGAAGATATATGATGTAATATACTAATGTATAAGTAGTGATAATCTTTCCGTTACATTTTCTGCAAAATAGGATATGTACTGGTTGTCAACCTTTTCAAGTAGAATGAGGTTGACACAGACCATTTAACAAAGAAGATACTCCCATGGAGAAGTGAGCTAGTGAATGATGGGGTTTTTTGTTAGCAGGGTTTAACATAGCACTTGCTCTTCAATGTTGGTGATTCTGTATGAGCAAATTTCTTGAGAAAGGGCTTAATATTCTTTCTGATTTGATTGACTAAGTCCTTTGGCCATTAAAAAAAGAAAATATTGTTTTGGTTGTCTTTCTCTTTGCAAATTATTTTCAGCACTTTCTAAAAAAAATAAATAAATAAATAAAAATTTAGCATTACTTTTCCTATACTGGATCTGTCCATGCCATGTAATTCTTCCTCATATGATAACTGTTAGTATCATGTAATGATTCTATTGATACTAAGATTTACAAATTAAAGACTTGCTCTGTTGCTCATGATGAACACACATGGCATGCCGGTTTTTTTTTTTTTTTTTTTTTTTTTTTTTTTTTTTTTTTTTCCCTTAAGTCACTAGGGAAACTGGACGAACTTAAACTGCCTGAAGTGTTTGTTTTCATCTTTCCTTGGCTTTTGTCTTGTCATCTGCAAATAATTATCCTCTTCTATTGTTATATATTAAAGATGATTGACATGTTTTATGGGATAGGGATACTAGAATCATAGGCGAAATTTAAGAGTTAAGATAGTGCCTGTGAAGTGTGAGCTATACTTTATCTAAATGAAATTGTCTATTTCTCCAAGGAGCAAGTTTTAACTTTAAACATCAATTGGCTGAATCAATTGTCTTTTTGTGCCTCTGCTTATTTGCTATGAAGCAGAAATTACTGAATTGGCTTTCGGATATAAGTAATAAATTTCTTTGCACTTGCAAGAGTAATATTGAAAGGGAAAAATTCACCGCAATTATCCCAGCTATAAGTAGTTTTCTCATAATATTCCCAATTTTGAGTTACTCTAGGATAATCATAGTTAAGCGGTTCGTCTTCCGAAAATGAACTCAAGAGACCAGTTCACCTGCCAAACCAGCTATAAACTAATAATGTTTGCTGAAGCGATGCTTTATATATTTAGATCAGATGCCCATAAAGTGCTGATATATTGTTGGCTTGATATCTGATAGAATAAAAGTATGAACCCAGATAACAATGGATTTTGAATTTTTGATCAAAGCTTGGACATGACTCTATGAATAGCTAACTCTTTGACTTTACTACTGAAGCAATTCTGACCACAGAGCTGATTTTATGACTTGAAATGTTTCCAATTTTTTACCAAAACAACATATCCATGATCAGTAAGTGATAAAGGTACTGCTAAATTTCCCAT